GATGAATTACTATATGGGGGATGAATTACTATATGGGGGGATGAATTACTATGGGGGATGAATTACTATAGGGGGGATGAATTACTATGGGGGATGAATTACTATGGGGGATGAATTACTATACTTACTATGGATGACACATACACATCATTCATCTACTCTTGGTCCGGCCCCCAGGTCTAATATATGAACCCATTGCGGCCCTCAAGTCAAAAAGTTTGCCCACCCCTGGGCTAGACCATGACACCCTGACTGCCAGTAGGTATCGGGATGAAATCCCTGGACCCATTGTCAGACCCTACACTGGTGCAGTGGGTCCTGGGTTCCTCCTGGTGCATGACAATGCCCAGCCTCATGTAGTGAGAATATGCAGGCAGTTCCTGGATGATGAAGGAATTGATACCATTGAATGGCCCCCACGCTTGCCTGACCTAAATACAATAGAACACCTTTGGGATATCATGTTTTGGTCCATCTGACACTGCCAGTTTACACTTCAGACTGTCCAGGAGCTCAGTGATTCCCTGGTCCAGATCTGGGAGGAAATATCCCAGGACACCATCCGTCGTCTCATTAGGAGTAGAGATGAGCGAATTATTCAAAAATTCGATTCGGCTGATTCGGCGAATTCGTGGAATAAATTCGATTCGAGTCGAATATATTCGCTGCGAATTTAACTTATAAAAAGGGTGTTTCTAGGCTTCAGAGAGCCTTTATATTAGTGCAGAACACTGTACCTTTAATTTAAATGCCCTTGGAGTCTGCTGGGGAAGAGAAATAATACTGTCAGTCAGTATGACATGCAGATGAGTGCCGTCGATCTTAGAATCACCGCACACTTCACTCATTTGGGCAGTCACGGGGCCAAAACCAGAGTGTGGAGCCACAGTGTGGCGGTGGAGGCAGCAGCAATGGGAGGCCATACAGCACCCTATGAAAAAATGGAACCCACCAGCAGTGTGAGGAGACCTGAAAGTGGCACATGGCAGAGTGTGGCGATGGAGACAGCAGCAATGGGAGGCCGTACAGGGACCCATGACACACTCTGGACCTGGCAGCAGCATGAGGAGGCGGTACAGGGGCCCATGACAGATTACGGGCCTGGCAGCAGCATGAGGAGTCGGTACGGGGGCCCATGGCAGATTACGGGCCTGGCAGCAGCAATGGGAGGCCATACAGCACCCTATGACAAAAAATGGAACCCACCAGCAGTGTGAGGAGACCTGAAAGTGGCACATGGCAGAGTGTGGCGATGGAGACAGCAGCAATGGGAGGCCGTACAGGGACCCATGACACACTCTGGACCTGGCAGCAGCATGAGGAGGCGGTACAGGGGCCCATGACAGATTACGGGCCTGGCAGCAGCATGAGGAGTCGGTACGGGGCCCATGGCAGATTACGGGCCTGGCAGCAGCAATGGGAGGCCCGTAATCTGCCAGCACCCTATGACAAAATGGAACCCACCAGCAGTGTGAGGAGACCTGAAAGTGGCACATGGCAGAGTGTGGCGATGGAGACAGCAGCAATGGGAGGCCGTACAGGGACCCATGACACACTCTGGACCTGGCAGCAGCAAGAGGAGGTGGTACAGGGGCCCATGGCAGAGTGGCGAAGCGTAAGCAGCTTAAATTGAAGGCCATACAGAGGCCTATGTTAAAAATAATAACATGTTTGGGGCATGATTCATGGCGGATTTAGTCAGTTGTGTCAGGAACTGGTGGTTTGAAATCCAGACTAATCCACGCCTGATTCATTTTCACAAAACGTGAGTCTCTCCACACTTTGGGTGGACAGTTGTGTCCTCCGCGGAGTTACAATACCTCCTGCCGCACTAAACACGCGCTCCGATGCCACGCTACTGGCCGGGCATGACAGCCTTTCAAGGGCAAATTCAGCTAGTTGGGGCCAAAGGTCAAGTTTCGTTGCCCAGTAGTCAAGGGGATTGTCTACCTCGGTTGGCAGGGTGCTGTCCAAGTAGGCCCAAGCCTGTTGTTTGAGGTCCTGCTCCAGATCCACCTGATGCTGCTGCTGCTGCTGCGGTTGGTTAGTAGTTTCCTCACTGCGCTGGTGAAGAAAGCTACTCCTCATCGACTGCAGACTGAGGCAGCCGCTGCTGGTGGAGCTGCCACTGCTCCTACCACCCCACCCCTCCCCTGCTGCCATGGCAGCGGAACGCGAGCGCACAGGGCCCACAGTGTCTGAGGATGGACGTTGGCGCAGAAAGGCAGAGACCAACTGACTACATAGGTGGTTTTTATAGTACGTTATTTTGGCCTCCCTCTCAGCAGGTGTGAAAAAGGCCACCATTTTTGAACGGTAGCGAGGGTCCAACAAGGTGGACAGCCAAAAGTCATCCCTCTGTCTGATGGTTTTTATTCGGCTGTCGCTACGCAAGCAACCGAGCATGCTATGGGCCATTTGTGCCAAGGAATGCAAGGGACTCCCTGCCTCCATCTCCACAGCATACTGCCACGGTGCGTCTTGGTCCTCTGTCTCCTCCTCCTCCTCTACCAGATGCTCCTGCTCCTCCACTCCTGTCCGCTGAGTGGAAAAACCACCCATTTCACTCAATAATTCCTGAGCACCAATGTCCTCCTCTACCTCCTCCTCTTCTTCCTGTCCTGCCCCCACAGGGGTCATGTGGCGTTGAGATCTGTGCGCCACGTCTACCGCACCCTGACCAGCCATTGTTAACAGCATTTGTTCCAGGACGTGCAACAGAGGAATGACGTCGTTCATCCCATAGTCCTGCCGACTCACGAATAGCGTGGCCTCCTCAAAGGGCCTGAGCAAGCGGCAGGTGTCACGCATGAGCTGCCAATGGCTGACATCTAAGTTACACAGGGGAGTACCTTTATCCGCTTGTAACATCAGGAAATCGGTGATGGCCTCTCGCTGTTCGTAAAGGCGGTCTAACATGTGTAGGGTTGAATTCCACCTTGTTGCAACGTCGCAGATCAGGCGATGCTGTGGAATTCCGTTCTGCCGCTGCAGCTCAAGGAGGGTGTGCTTTGCGGTGTAGGAATGGCTGAAATGCATGCAAAGTTTACGTGACATTTTAAGGATGTCTTGCAGTGGGATGGTGGATTTTAGGAACCGCTTGACAACCAGATTGAACACGTGAGCCATGCATGGCGCATGGCACAACCTTCCTTGACGCAGAGCAGACACCATGTTCTTTCCGTTGTCGGTCAACATGGTTCCGATTTTCAGTTTGCGCGGAGACAGCCATCTGTCGATTTCTCTGTTCATTACACTCCGAAGTTCCTCCCCTGTGTGACTACGTTCGCCAAGGCATACCAGGTGCAGCACAGCGTGACACCGTTGCGCCCTGCACATGTGATATGCCGGTTGGGTAATGGGACTTGGCACGGGGGGGGGTGGCGGCTGAGGACACGGCGGAAGAAGAGGTGGTAGAGGCGGACATCTTTGCTGGACCAAGGACGTGCAAACGTGGAGGCAAAAGCGGCGTGACCTGTCCAAGTTGCTGGTGCGGCTGTGCCGGCACCACGTTCACCCAGTGGGCCGTAAATGACATGTACTGTCCCTGACTGTAGTTACAGCTCCACACGTCGGCGCTGCCGTGCACTTTGGCAGAGACCGACATGCTCAAAGACTGGCCCACCATCTCTTCTACATGTGAATGCAGGGCTGGCACTGCCTTTTTGGCGAAGAAATGCCGGCTTGGCACTCTCCACCGCGGCGCGGCACAAGCCATCATTTCTCGGAAAGGTGCTGAGTCCACCACTTGGAAAGGGAGGGACTGCAGCACCAGCAACTTGGACAGGAGGACGTTCAGCTTCTGCACCGTCGGGTGCGTGCTCGCAAACTGTTGTCTCTTGGAAACGGATTCCAAGAAAGACTGCTGACGGAATCCGTGAAGAGGAGTAGCAGGAGAAGGAGCATCTGAACGAGCGGAAGATGCCAACGAGTGACAACTCCCCTCATCAGAGGTGTTGGAGCCTTGACTGGCTGATAGAGAGCGATTGACGTCGGGTGACGGAGCAAGTAACGGAGCGGGTGATGGAGCGGGGGCTGGGGCAGGCAGAACCGCCGTATCTTTATCACGGTTTTCCCAGGCCACCGAATGGCGACGCTGCATATGCTGACGCAACGCTGTAGTCCCAACATGGGCCCCCTGGCCACGCTTGACTTTCTGGCCACATAGTCGACATACGGCTACGTACGTTTACTTCCTCGGGCGTCTTGACAAAAAATTGCCACACCGCCGAGTAGGAAACTTTGCCCCCGCTACTCCTCACTGGCTGACTGCTACTTCCTCCGTGCACACCGGCACCACTACTGGCCGTGGTGGTAGGCTGCAGTGGAGCTGGTGCTCTACTCCGTGGCCGTTTGCCTCCACTGACACTGCTGCGACCCTGCTGCCTCCTGGGCAACCCACCGACTGTTTTGCTCGCTGCCAAGCTGGCACCCTCTTCTCCTGATGATGCGGAAGCAATAGCCTGATGACGACGAGGCTGCCAAGTGCGATCAGCCTCATCATCATCAATTAGGGTCTCCGCCTCACTACTAGCCCCCTCGGCTGCGTGTGGGTCAGGAGACAGACCTGTCTCTAGACCGGCTACCGAGCCACTCTCCTCGCCAGTACTTCTTCGCCTGGCTGCTGAAGAGGCGGATGTCTCCCCCCGTTCCTGACTGCCCTCTGTTAGCTCTTCCTCACTGTACAGTGGGGCTGAGCCCACAGCATGCGATACTTCGCTTGGTGAGGGAACACCAAAGGACAGGGGCAGGTAGAGGACACGTGATTTCAGTGGGCTTGCTCCCGGGCCATGCCAACTAACGGTTGTGTCTGACGTACCCACCGACCGTTGGCTGTAGGTGTCAGAGGTGACCTGGGAAGAGGAAGACGACCGAGCCAACCAATCGATGACGGCAGGGTTGTCGGTGGAGACACGACCGCTGGATGACACCGGGAGCACTGGCCTCTGGCTGCGACTAGTGCTGCCTCGACCCCTTCCTCTGCTGCCACGTCTGCTCGCTCCTGAAACATTGCCTCCTCTGCCACTCCTCTGCGTGTTGTCTGACATACTCTTTAATTCAACGATTCTGTGTCCCTGAGTAACGATTCTGTGTCCCTGAGTAACGATTCTGTGTCCCTGAGTAACATTTCTGTGTCCCTCAGTAACGATTCTGTGTCCCTCAGTAACGATTCTGTGTCCCTGAGTAACGATTCTGTGTCCCTGAGTAACGATTCTGTGTCCCTGAGTAACGATTCTGTGTCCCTCAGTAACGATTCTGTGTCCCTGAGTAACGATTCTGTGTCCCTCAGTAACGATTCTGTGTCCCTCAGTAACGATTCTGTGTCCCTCAGTAATGATTCTGTGTCCCTGAGTAACGATTCTGTGTACCTGAGTAACGATTCTGTGTCCCTGAGTAACGATTCTGTGTCCCTGAGTAACGATTCTGTGTCCCTCAGTAACAATTCTGTGTCCCTGAGTAACAATTCTGTGTCCCTGAGTAACGATTCTGTGTCCCTCAGTAACAATTCTGTGTCCCTGAGTAACGATTCTGTGTCTGTCCCTGAGTAACAATTCTGTGTCCCTGAGTAACAATTCTGTGTCCCTCAGTAACAATTCTGTGTCCCTGAGTAACAATTCTGTGTCTGTCCCTGAGTAACAGTTCTGTGTCCCTGAGTAACAGTTCTGTGTCCCTGAGTAACAATTCTGTGTCCCTGAGTAACAATTCTGTGTCCCTGAGTAACGATTCTGTGTCCCTGAGTAACAATTCTGTGTCCCTGAGTAACGATTCTGTGTCCCTCAGTAACAATTCTGTGTCCCTGTGTAACAATTCTGTGTCTGTCCCTGAGTAACGATTCTGTGTCCCTGAGTAACAATTCTGTGTCCCTGAGTAAAAATTCTGTGTCCCTGAGTAACGATTCTGTGTCCCTGAGTAACGATTCTGTGTCCCTAAGTAACGATTCTGTGGCCCTAAAGTCTCTGTGGCCCTAACTCTGTCCCTAATACACAGAGGTCTGTCTCTCTTGAATGACCGGAGGCTAATGGAGAATTCTAAGATGGCCGCGATTTATAGCTCCACCATTACACAGTGCTGTCTGGCTGGCTGCTGATTGGCTAATGCGATCACATGTCATGAATGAATGCATTATGGGTCAGCGCGCCTTGTCTGCGCGCCTTCCCAGAGATCCCCGCTCCGTCGCCACACATGTCGCCGCCATTTTTTGGGAAAATTTGATTCGTGCATCCGAAGTTTGCTAATTTTCGGATTCGGCGCGAATTGAATATTTCCTAATCTTCGAAATGAATTCCACTTCGTCATGTTTGATTCGCTCATCTCTAATTAGGAGCATGCCCCGACATTGTCAGGCATGCATACAAGCACATGGGGGCCATACAAACTACTGAATACTATTTTGAATTGCTGCAATGAAATTTCAGCACAATGGACTAACCTGCTGCATCATTTTTTAACTTTGATTTTCGGGGGTGTCTTTGAATTCAGTCTTCTGTAGGTTGATCATTTTCATTTCCATCAAACAATGGGGCATCCTTACATTCCTAACACATTACCCAGTCCATATCAGTATAGATATCCAGCATGAGATTTTTCCCCATTGAGATCTGATGTGTTTTCAAAGTGTATAGGTTTGTTCCATTCTTCTACAATAAGGCTACATATTCATTGGGCAGTTTGACCTGTCAGCCAGAAATCGCAGTGATTTTCAGGCACCTGGGAGGCACAAATGCAGCACCTGGCCCCTCTGCCAGCAGCCTGTCAAAACATACGTTGAAATATGTGACAGCTGGACATTGTACCAAGCATTATTCACATTCAGGGACAACGTCCTTTGTTTGGGTCATATATCCCTGAATGCATATGGCCCTAAATGCAAGTACCACTTAGTGTAGCATCCATTCGCTGTGTATTTCAGCTTGTCAGAAACTTTTTACTGGGCTCACTGCCAAGTTCCCTGCATGTTTTTAAATCACTGACAACAGTTATTACTTTATACAAAGCATAAGAACAGTGTCAATATTAATATAAAGAACTATTAAAGCTGCAAAGTTTGGCATCTTCTAATACATCAAACAGGTTTCTGTCAATCTTGTACACCTCCTAGATCTGTATGTATAACTCTAATATATAGGTATCCTTTGCTGGTATTTTCTGTTGTCCCTGTAGTCTTGGCAGATAGGGAGAGTACCAGACTTATGTTTGTAATATATATATATATATATATATATATATATATATATATATATATATATATATATATATATTAACACACACACAATATTGCCAAAACTATTGGGACACCCCTCCAAATCATTGGATTCAGCTGTTCCAATCACCTGCATGGCCACAGGTGTATAAAATCAAGCACCTAGGCATGCAGACTGCTTCTACAAACATTTGTGAAAGAATGGGTCACTCTCAGGAGGTCAGTGAATTCAAGCGTGGTACTGTGATAGATTGCACAGGTGGCAACCTAAGTCCATCCGTGAAATTTCCTTCCACGGCCAACTGTTAGTGGTATTATAACAAAGTGGAAGCAACTGGGAACAACAGCAACTCAGCCACGAAGTGGTAGGCCACATAAAATGACAGAGCTGAGTCAGCGCATGCTACAGCACACTGCAGAGTCATTCGCTAAAAACCTCCAAACTTCATGTGGCCTTCAGATTAGCACAACAACAGTGCATAGAGAGCTTCATGGAATGGGTTTTCAAGGCTGAGCAGCTGCATCCAAGCCTTACATCACCAAGTGCAATGCAAAGTGTCGGATGCAGTGGTGTAAAGCACGCCGCCACTGGACTCTAGAGCAGTGCAAACGTGCTCTCAGGAGTGATGAATCATGCTTCTCTGTCTGGCAATCTGATGGATGTGCCTGGGTTTGGCAGTTGCCAGGAGAACAGTGCTTGCCTGACTGCATTGTGCCAAGTGAAGTGTTTGCTGGAGAGGGGATTATGGCGTGTGGTTAATTTTCAGGGGTTGGGCTTGGCCCCTTAGTTCCAGTGAAGGGAACTCTTAAGGCGTCAGCATACCAAGACATTTTGGACAATTTCATGCTCCCAACTTTGTGGGAACAGTTTGGGGATGGCCCCTTCCTGTTCCAACATGACTGCGCACCAGTGCACAAAGCAAGGTCCATAAAGACATGGATGAGTGAGTTTGGGGTGGAGGAACTTGACTGGCCTGCACAGAGTCCTGACCTCAACCCGATAGAACACCTTTGGGATGACTTAGAGCGGAGACTGCGAGCCAGGCCTTCTTGTCCAACATCAGTGCCTGACCAATACTTTTGGTAATAGTGTATGTATATATCTTTTATAAAAATTTCTCAATCTATTAGATAAGAATTTATTCAATTTATTTGAAATGTATATTTTGCTGCTTTAATTTTTGTCTTAGGATTTACCCTGTTAAATGTACACCATTGTTTGTGTTCTTTACTTGTTAGTCCTGAAGAAGGGGCTTTTATGAATTCTATAAATAAGATTTTACCACGCCTGCTCAATCAACAGGTCTTTAATAGACTTATGTCTCAAAACTGTCTTTCTTTCTGAAACTATACTTGTAAATGAGGGAGGAGTCTGTGCAGATTGTGTTATGAACTGTAAAGTTAGCTAGTTGGATTTTACATGTGTACAAATGGAGACGAGTGGTGAAGTGGCCAGAACCTGAGGTTTATCACGTGTATGCCTTTAATACCTTTATGTTGATGTGTTGATGTGGAATCATATTTATTTTCAATGCATAAGATTCCCAAATAAACTTTCAAGGTCTATAGTTATAGTTTAGAAGTATAGTATAGTTCTATATAGAAGTAAATGCAGCTGATTACTGCTGGGTACCATGACCTTCTACAGGCCCATTGAAAAAAATGTGCTGTTTTTTCTGTCTACCTTACTAATCAAACAGACCAAAATCACAACCTATGTTAAACCATACAGTGAAAATGCCCAATTTATTGCATCCAATTTGCTCATCTGGTGAACAGGGACCTCCTGAGGTTTTGCCTATTCCCACATAAATGCCCTCATGTATGGCAGCATTTGTTCTTGAAATGTTTTGTATGTCTTGCACTGTGTTGAAGCTAAAACCTTTCCAGTTTCCTAGCAAGACCTAATGAAAAATAATGAACCAGACAAGATATGCAGGACAGGAAAAGATCTCTATTAACCTAATATTAATATTATATGTATAATATGTATGAGGCAGCTCATTTGAAACTCAAAAAAAGATTACCTTAGTCAAGAAAACTGTGCTTCTTTCTAAGCTAATTAGTCTGTTTCACAATTTTTTTTGTCAGAACACTGTCTTGTAACACAGCACTTTCTGTTGACTGTCATCTTCTGCAGCTCAAATGTAATCTAAAATGGTTTTTGGAGTTCTTTGTTTGCTCTCCTGTGGTGTCTGACTAACCTGGAAATGAGCTCTGTTCAAATTGATTCCCTCTATCAGTCCACATGATGTTCTGATAACATTCTTCAGAGAGCATTTCATGGCATTCATATTAAATCAGTTCCAAAAAACTTTGACCACTGAGCAGAAGCTATTTATACTTGCATTTGTGCATTGGGAGAAAGGCTCACATTATTTATGATTTGTATGCATTTTAATCTGCAGTCTTTCTTCTAATATCACACGTTTGATAAACCTGTTTTCCCATTGACGGAACAACCTGTGCTTTATATACTGCTGTGCTTTACAGATTGCAAAACTGTTTCTTGTTTTAAAATTAACAGACCGTTTTCTAGTGTTTAAAGAATTTTTACCATGTATGGATGTCTTTGCATAGTTACACTGGTCCAATCAGGACCAACATACCTATGTAAAAATTCTCATACCTGGAATTCTTCTTTAAGGGTTTATTTTTTTCTGTCTGTTTTTATATTTGTAGAAAATATACCATGAAAGTCATTGAAAAGAGGAAAACAATACAATTTTAACTGTTAAACTATTACATTTGGTATGATTAGTACTTTACATATTCTGTGCCACTTTACTATACTGTATACATGATAAAAGAGTAAATAACTTCCGACACATGGTTGTAAAGCAGATCCCTGGGTGACCTTTATTTCGCACTCTAAATCCAATCTGGGTGAATTACATATTTACCTGGTAGGGTGAGTAATGCCATTGGTGAAACAGAGTGAATGTTCCATTATTCACTATTATATAGCAAAAGCTAGCTAGATATGAGATTATCTAGCTTGCTGTGTTTCAATGCAGTTTAGTTTGTTGGGGCTTTTATTAAGAACTATCAAAATATTTAATTGAAAGTGTATTTAGATTAGAATAGGCTACAGTGTAGTTCAAAACAAGTGGCGCAGTGGTTTTGTGGTTAGCCTTGCAGCACTGGAGTCCCCCGTTCGTATCCTGGTAAGGACACTGCATGGAGTTTCATGTTCTTCCTGTGCTTGTGTGGATTACTTTCCATACTTAAAAAACACACTGTGTGTATGCATGTGGAATATGGACCTTTAACTGGAATCTCCTTTAGAAAGGGAATATTGTACAGTATGTGAAGCACTGTGCAAGT